TTGTCCTAAAGCTTGATGCTCGAGTGGCTTATGTGTACTGTGAGCAGATCACAGAGGAAGTAAGTTGCCTAGTGAAGGCAAATACTACCCATATCAGATCTCAAATAGGGTGGCATACGATAACATCTTTACTTTCCATCACAATCCGACATCCAGAAGCATTTGAAGCAGGTTTTGACGCACTATTATTTATTATGTTTGATGGGGCTCACTTGCTCCCAACCAATTATGTTCTCTATGTAGATGCTGCGAGGCAGTTTGCCGAGTCATATGTTGGACAAGCAGAGTGATTTATCCGTGCACTAGATCTTATGTTCAGTTCTGTTGATTGTTTGGCAAGGTGGACCCATGAAGCAAAGGTAGCAATGAGAGAGGAGGATGCTGACATGATGTTTCAGGATGTCAGTGATTTATGGTTGAGGCTTGTACAGGGACTCAAAAAGGTTTGTTTGGACCAGAGAGAAGATGTCATAAACCATGCTCTTCTATCATTGGAGAAATGCTTGACTGGAGTGGATGGCATCCATATTTCTCGTGGTTTATGGGTGCAGTGTTTCGATCTTGTAATCTTCACAATGCTCGATGACTTGCTTGAAATTGCTCAGGGACACCAAAAAGACTACCGCAATATGGAAGGCACGCTTATTGTTGCCATGAAGCTCATTTCCAAAGTGTTCTTACAGTTACTCTAAGAGCCCTCATAGTTAACTACATTCTGTAAACTGTGGCTTGGTGTGCTTAGCTGAGTGGAAAAGTATATGAAAGTAAAAGTACGAGGTAAGAAAAGTGAGAAGCTTCAGGAGCTAGTGCTCGAGATTCTCAAGAGCATCTTGCTCATGATGAAGACAAGGGGAGTACTCATACAGAGGAGTGCACTAGGTGGAGATAGCTTGTGGGAACTGACACGGCTGCATGTGAATAACATTGCGCTGTCTTTGCTGTCCAAGGTTTTCCCTGATCAGGATCCAGAGCTCAAGCATGGTGAAACTGGTAGTGTAGTGTCCGGTGAAACAGTTTCTGTTCCTTAAAATGAAACAACCACCACCAAAGGAGCTGGTGCAGGAAGTTAACATTTTGTACAGTTGGATGGTTGAGAAGGGTTTGTCATAGCAACCCGTAGAGTCACACGCATGATACGATGCTATTTTTCGAGGAGATCCACATTGATGCATTAGGACGTGTTAGGTTATGATGCTGGTAAGATTCCGCAAATCTAAGTCTTGTTTGGACGTATTTGGGATATGTTACCTTTATATTGCCTTTGCTCATTGATGTATAGAAGCATAGGATTAGAAGATTTTACTTGGAATGGCAATGAATCATTAAATTTCTCACACTATTTGTGCTTTGTCACTGAATTCCCAGAGAATATTTTGTCCACAAATCAAAATTTGGCTCTGCAACTATGGTGAATATTGGACATTGTTGTTATTTATTGGATCGACTGCTATCTTAAGTGATCTGCTTTGTTGTATATATAGCGAGAGAGAGAGAATCCGTTAGTTTTATTTAAAAGAGGAAATATCTAAAATTATAATGAAGGTTTATGTTTATAACTGTAGACTAAACACATAAATAATCATTGACACAAGAAATTAACCACTCAAGATCACACAAGGACTATACAAGAAAAGTTTAGAAAAACAAAAAAAAATGTTCGAACAAAATTTAAATATGAACATATTTGATAGTATCGATAAACTAACCACAAAGGAGATTTAACTATTGAAACACCATTGGTTTACTGCAAATCATAGTCAAACAATATGAGAAAATTATTTACGAATGCAAAAATCTTATATTCAAATTCAATCGAAGGTCTAAAGTAAAAAAAAAATCAACATGATGACAAATAAACGCAGTCTTAATCAGTTGAGATATTGTTAAATCTAACTCTCAAAAAAGGAAAAATGAAACAATGACTAAATGATCGATCGAAAATGTATCAAAAAGTATAGAAAATCGTATAATATAGAGTTATTGAAAACTAAAAGAATAAAGTAAAAAAAAGGTGATATAAGAAAATAAAATAAAATGTAAAAATATCAACGGTAACGACGAGTACCGAAACTGAAGCTGCCACCTAACAACCAAAAATGGAAAAGGAGATAAGCGGCGCTTTAGAGAAGAGCTATGAATACCAGTGGATCAAAATTATGTTATTAAAGCCCCATCAAGTTTAAAATAATTTGTTTGTTGATCTTATCACAGTCTCAAAATTTTTGAAGGTTCCAAGGCTACCAACGACAGGACAGTAGTGTGTCTTTTCCGAAAATGCAATTCTGACCTGCTTCTTCGATTCAGAGAAAAAAAGGTAGCCTTTTAAGGAAAAACTCAATTTGATTCATTGTTGTTGACAAGGTTTTGGAGAGCAGGAGTTGATGAGGCTGATGTCCTGATACTATAATGTTGTTTTGGTAGATTCGGAAAATGGAGTTGAAGGCCGGGATGACTTGTTGCTAAATTAAGGGACTATAAGTTGTGATTTGAATGAATGTCTTGGCGCAATGCGTACTCGGGCTGCTCATTATGAATTGTTGGAACCGGGGATGGCTGATTCTCACTCGGTAATTTCTGGTTTATTTTCTTATATATATATGAATACGTGTGTGTGTGTATATATTCACGTGCTATATGTTTTTATCAATTCGGGGAAGTGCGTTTGATTTGATCAGGTGAATATTCACCTCTCTACTCAGTCTCTGTTCCATTACTGATATCTGTTTCATTTTTTATTCTTTCACAGCTTTATGATGTGGACGACGCCATAGCAAGAGTAAGAAATACCAGGATTAGCAAGAACAAGTGTGTCTCCATTATCATACCTCTTGTCCTTGCAATCTCCTCTACTACAAAGCCTGCCTGTTTCTGCAATTTGTATGTAAACTTGTAATAACAGTGGTGATGTCGGCATCATTCATCTGATACTTTCATGTTCATGTGTGCTCAACTGATATATGATTTCCTCTTACAATTGGTATTTGGTTTTACATTTATGTAAAATCTCAACTCTCCGTGGGTCACATATATTACTATTATCTTGTGGTGAAAACATTACACGGTTAGATATCATATCACCATTGAAAATGGGCTATGAAAATCAGTGAATGGAAAATTTTCAGAGTTCTCCCGTCAGCTTGTTTCAAATTCAGGACTTGATTGGGCCAAATGCATTTTTGATAATTATAAGAAATTCTTTCAGGAAAAATAAATTATAAGAATTAAAATAGAGATAATCCCATGTCCAAATTTGATTCATTGTTCATCATATACAATGTAAATTTGCTCCATGACATTATTACAAAAGATACATGGCAGTGCCAAGATTCTTGGATCCAAGCCCTTAGATTATGTTTGGTCTGTCCCAACACCTTGGGTTGGCCCACCTCTGCAGAGAAGAAAAAAATCTGGCAGATTCATTCGTCATATAGGGAGAAAGAGGTTCACAAAACAAAAGCCGATTTCTCATTCTCCTCTTGTTGTTCACGGTAACGAAAGTTGCCATCTTTACGCTTTTGAATCCCTCAAGATCCTCTTGCAAAGAAGCCCGAGCTTTACTGAAACAAACCTAGGGCTTAAAGAGAAAGAAAACCATGGATTCCCTTTCATCGGTTTCTCCGTCTATAGTTCTCCCTCCGGCCAACCCCTTGCCGACGCAACGGCAGCATCGTCCTCAAGTTGCCGTCTTTCCCTTCGCCCCGAATACCCATCTTCCTCGCTTTTCGTCTTTCTTTAGAATGAATTCTTCTAAAGGAAGACTGAGTCGAGTTGTTGATTGTAAATGCAAATTTAACGGTGGGGATATGAGAGCAGGAGGAGGAGGAGAAGATGATGATGGTGAGAAAGAGGAGGTTGAAAGGGCGCTTAATCTGGACGGTACGATTCCATCTACTTCCAGCGAGTTTCTGAAACGGGTTTCGTCTCGGGCGTATGATATGCGGAGGCATTTACAGCAAACTTTTGATAGTAGCAGTTATGATGGTAAAAGCTCTTAAGATTTTGGCTTTTGTTAACGTATTCTTTCCCTCTGTTTAGCTTACTTATTCCATGCTTATCTACCTGCTTGTGATTTGAGTTGTATCTTGAATCGCTGTAGCCTTTAGGCAAAACCTATTGTTTCTAGTGGACTGCCTTTGAAATGATCCATTTCTACACCCCCCATGTAATGGTAGCTTATATTTGAAACTGAAACCTCAAAGTTGGGCTGCCCACCCTTTTGCATTCTTCCCAATTTCCAGGATTTCTATTCGGTGGCTTTTGTGTTGAGGGGGGCGGGGCTGGAACTTGTTGACAAATTAGATATCTTTGGAAATATGTGAAATACATATGTGCTGAGTTTATCCTTCAAATATTAATATGTTATCTGTTATATTTCATAGTTTATACTTCTTCCATAGGACTAACCAATCACGCTGGCAGCATCTATATTCTATATTACTTGGACTTGGGTGTATAGTAAAGTTTCTCTTAGTTTTCCAACATGTTTACCCATGTCATACATGAGTTCATCGCAAAAAATGAAAAACTAAAGCAACATAACATCGACCCTTCATCTTGAGATATGCAGGGTATAGGTTTCTGTATGTACTTGGTGTGCAATATGGTTGTGTGGATAATGGATGTAAATTATTTGACAGCCTGTGTTGTTTTCTTAATGGCTTAATGTTACACCAAATCCTTTTGCTTTCTTTCACAAAGCTTCAGTACTTTTCTGCTTTTAATCTTTGTTCAGTATTGGAGGCAAATCCATGGAGAGACCCTTCGAAAGCTGTATACGTGCTAACTCACAAGGAAAACCAGTTGTGCACAATGAAGACTCGAAGAAACCGCAGGTCTAACTTATTTTCGAAACCCCAGTATAATCTTTTCTTGAGTTATTCTCATGGATGCCTTGTCGTAATAATTCTTTTCTAGCAGTGAAGTTGAAACGGAACTTGGGTTATTGTTCTCTAAAGGAGCAAAGCGGAGTTCTGGACGTGGAAACAAAACCGAACAGCCTAGATCTGGTACTAAGTTTGAGATGCTGGTGGAGGATGTTAGGGAAGGAGTACTTGTAAGTATAAATGATTCAGTGTTTCGGATATTTTTCAATGTGTAGTGTCGATTGTCAATGAATGAAGGGCTTGCAAGACTCTCTGCTTTACAATTCTTTTCTGCTTTACAATTCTTTTCTGCTTTCTGTTTCTTCATGCTTAAAACTTAGTACTATTGCTGTATGCCATATGGTATGACTTCATTTCCCGGGACCGGTAACTTCTCAAAGTTCTCAATAGAAGCTGGGACTTCAATCCTTGAGTTTCTTTCTGTTTGTTTATCGTAGTTCTTCTTTTTCAGTCTCGACCTTAAACTGTCATCTTACAGGTATTCGAAGATGAGAATGAAGCTGCAAAATATTGTGACTTGATGCAGGGAGGATGTGAAGGTGTTGCAGAGATCGAAGCCTCATCGGTTAGTTAATTAGTTAGATACCAACCTGTGGTGTATGAGTTTTCTTAAAGAATGTGTGTATTGTAATGTGTAGGTATTTGATCTTTGCCGGACAGTGAGGGTTCTTGTGGTTCTGTTCCGCAGGGGGAGAACACCTCCGCTACCTCAAAGCCTGGAGCTCAACCTCAAAGCTCGAAAACGTTCCCTAGAAGACCAAGAGGGCTTCAAATAAACTAAATGTCATACCCAAACAAAGATATGATATTTATATAGTTTTTAGATTTTATTTAAATGAATATTTTATATAGGCATAATTATAAAATACCCAAATTATATTGTTTTTCTCGAATAGGTGCTCAAACTTTTTTTAATCATTTAGGTGCTTAATATTACAAACGTTATCACTTTAGGTGTTTGAGTTGTAATTGTCATTAAATTTTGTCGTTAAAGGACAAATGTTAGTTTATGGTAATTTTAAAAAATTATTTAAAATAAAAAAAACTAAAATTAAATATATTTAAGAAATACACAAATTTTGAAATAATCTCAAATTTTTGAAAAATTATTATTTTAACCCCTAAACTCATGTCGGTCGTTATTTTCTGTTGTTGACGAAGTTTCACTCGATCTAACCTCTCTCGATGATCAATAATCTTATGAAATTGTAACCAATCGATGATAAATTAATAGCCAATCAATGTTTGTACCCTGCGAGTCCTATGGTGAAAAATCATGACTCTAAGCAATTTCGAAGGTTAATTGGCGACAATTATGGTGATGTATAACTATGAAAATGGTAGAGATTACGTTGGTGACGATGGTCGTTGTTAGAAAGGGCGATGCCAATGGGTTAGGGATTTGGGTTTTTTTTTATTTTTAATTTAAGCGAAATTGAGTGTAATCTCCTAAACCCAATCTATGCATTACAACTAGATCTAGCGGATTATAACAAAAAATTTCAAAACATATTTCAAATAGTCTTCCATAATTTAAATCCACATTATAAATAGCATCTTTAAAAAAACATAGTTAATAACAATAAAAATCCAACGAGTAAATATTAAATCGTAAGTGACCGTGTAAAATAAAATACATCATAATTCGTATCACAGTAAATCTAGCATCAGTAACAAAACCAGTAATCTTCATAAAAATAGGTATTTCAAAATAAAGGCACATATCACCGTAAATGAGAGCAGTTCAAAAGATAAAAATATTATAATAAAATGTTATGTACGAATATGTCGATCCTCCAAGTGATAGGTTCAGGGTGCCTATCCAAAAGTATCTGAAAGGGGGGAAAGTTTGAAAAGGTGAGCTAGGGAGTTAAGTGTGTTCCAATAGTGCAAGTAAAACGTAATAGGTAAAATAATAAAGAAATAATTCAATAAAATATCATAAAAGTCATAGTGAAGCTTAAATTCTAACACTCATAATTACTCTGCTCCAGTACACCAAAATGCAGTTTCCGAGAACTGTGTCCATAAGGGCTTACCTTATACCTATTGGGTACATGAGCCAACCTAAGGGAGCATATTGGGGCCTGAGAGCATACCTAAGAAAGTTCTTGGGGACTCGGAGCCTATCTAAGGGTCGTCTTAGATCCGTAAGGAATTACTAGCTTGATCAGAGTTAAACCTACATACTCCAATATCCTACCCAAAACAGTATCTCAATAAAACAATTAACACAGTAAGTAGTGAATTTAATGATCCATAAATCGACATAATCATATCTTCCACTGCAAACAAGTAATCAAATAACATATATCAAATAACCATGGTTCATAAACAGTCAACCTATAAATCAGTAAATCACATTTCAAAACAGATAAAACAATTATATAGCACATAGAGAACACACCTAGCAAAACGGAATCAGTCAACAGTCTACTCAACACCTGCCTTACCACGCTCTGCAGCAGTGCTCGAACCTAATTCATAATAAACTGAGTTAATATCGAAGTAAAATTTTAATCTAAGTATTCATAAGGTTCACGGGTCCTACGAGTAATCACTGGCTCGCGAGTTCGAACAGATCGAAAGGAGCTGGATCGAGTTGTCGAACGGTCGAGAGAGTCTCGTGTACCTTCAAATAACAATATCTTAAATCACTCATTAATCTTAATTTAATTATTCTTAAATAAAATAATTAAGTACATATGTATGTTCGAGTTTGACAGTCACTTCGGAGACTTTCAGGTTCGAATTTGGCAAAACAGACTTCAGATTCGGACTCAGGATATTGAAAAACATAAAACATGACTTTCCAAAAAATTTGACCTTTTGGTCAAAGTCAAAGTCAACATTGGTCAAAGTCAACATATAGGTCAACGATCAATCAAAGTCAACGATTTGACTATGTTCGAGTTGACTCAATTAGATTGACTCGATCGAGTTAATTCAGCCGAGTTGACTCAGTTTGAGCCGGTTCGGTCTAACTTGATTGGTTCAGTTTGACTGGACTGGTTCCAGAAGGCTCTTGGATCAGTAGAGGAGCCCCACGAACACGCAGCATCATATGGCAGTGCGTGACGGTGACGACGAGGTTGGGGCGATAGTCGAGCACTCCGAGATCACAAAAATATCATTACCAAGCCATATCAACGCTCAAAACAAGCTAAAATCATCGAAATCAAAATAAAAAGGCCAAAACGCTTACCCCGACGATGGACGAACAAAACTTACGACATCGACGTCACCCACCAGTTGGGTTTTGAGAGCCCAGAGGTAGGGAGTTTAGTGGTGGCGGCGGTGAGGCAAGCCGATGACCGAGGCGACCTGAATCGAGGAAAAGCCTAGCGTCTGGGTGGATTTTCGAAGGCTCTTTGGCGAGCTCCCCATGGCGAACGATGTCGGTTTTCATAATGAGGTCAGAGGGTTTTTGGTCACCGTTCGATTGTGAGTCGAACGAGGGTGATGGCGCACTCAACGGTGATTGAACAACATGGATTGGTGAGGCGACGATGAGTACGACTAGGGATTTTGGGGGGATTTGGGTAATTAGTTCTGAAATGGGGATGGCTTTGGGTTATAACCAGAGTAAAATAGATTTTACTTAAAATATCACAAACAATGACCTGCCTAATTGATAGGGTGATGGTTGGCCATGCTTGGGGATAGGGGTTTGAAACCCCTTAACTACACATTTGAAATATTTTTTTTATTTTTCCACTGACTAGAAAAATGAGATAATTCTTGGTTAAGTCCCTGAACTTTCTACAGGTTCAAAACCATGTTGTAAACTTTTAAAACTTGCAATTTAGTCCCTAAATTAATTAAATTAATTTTTAATTTAAAAATGTAGGGTGTGACAATTCTCCTCCTAAAGAAATTTCATCCTTGAAATTTACCTGAAGCAAACAGATGTGGAAACTGAGTCTTCATTGATTCCTCAGTCTTACAAGTGGTTTTTACAGGACCACGTTACTCCACTAAACCTTTACCATTAAGATACGCTTACTCTGCAATACTGTCTCATCTCGATCCAAAATTTGAACAGGCTCCTCATTATAGGATAAATATGGCCTCAACTCAACATACTCTAATTGAATAATGTGGCTAGGGTCTGGACAATAGAGACTCAACATGGGCACGTGAAAGATATCATGAAAACAACTGAGTTGGGGAGGCAACTTGAGCTGGTAAGCAACATGTCCGAATCTCTTCAAAATACGTTATGGCCTAATAAATCTTGGACTCAATTTACCTTTGCTCCAAAATCTCAATACTTTTTTCCATGGAGATACCTTCAAAGACCTGATCTCCAAGCTCAAACTCGATGTCTTTTCTTCTCTGATCAGCATAAGACTTCTGCCTGTCAAATGCCTCTTTCAAGCGGCTACGAATCAATCTGATGGTGTCCTTAGTCTCTCCCACTAACTCAAGTTCCAAAGTCTTTCTATCACACAACTCAGTTCAACAGACTGGGGTGTGACATCTACGCCCACAAAGTGCTTCGTACGGTGCCATACAAATACTAGCCTAATAGTTGTTATTGTAAGCAAACTCATCCAAGTGCAAAAAATCCTCCCAACTACTTTAAAAATCAATCACATAACCCCGCAACATATACTCAAGAACCTGAATCACTCACTCAGATTGACCATCAGTCTGCGGGTGGAAATCTATACTAAAATTTAGTTTAGTACCCAGAGCCTCATGCAGTGCTTTCCAGAATCTCGATGTAAATCTCGGATCTCGATCAGAAATGATAGATAGTGGAACACCATGGAATTTGATGATATTTGAGATATACAATCTAGTCAGCTTGTCCAAAGAAAAATTTACCGCACGAGAATAAAATGAGCCGATTTTGTAAGTCTATCAACAATCACCTAGACAGAGTCTTTTTTCGAATGCGTCATAGGTAAACCAATAACAAATCCATAGTAATACGCTCCCACTTTCATTCAGGAATCTTGATAGGTTGAAACAGACCCGACGGATGCTGATTATTTCCCTTAACTTACTGACAAGTCAAACATCTAGCCACAAAATTAGAGATGTCCTTCTTTATGTCGACCCAACGGTACCTCTCTCATATTTCGATACATCTTATCTCCACCGGGGTGCATAACATAAGGGCTACTGTGAGCCTTATTGAGGATAACTTGTCTCAACTCTGCATCATTAGGCACACAATATCGACCTTTGAATCATAAAAACTTCATCCTAGTCAAAAACATAATCTGAGGTAGTCCCCTGCTCCAGTTTCTCAAAGATGGGGAACAATGAGCTATCAAAAATCTGTTTGGCCTTAATCTTCTCGGCCAAGGTCAGCTTAACCTATAATTCTACTAACAGAATGCCATCATCATATAACTTCATCCTGGTAAATAAAGATCTCAGATCAAATATCACCTTTCGGCTCAAAGCATCCACAATGTCATTAGCTTTACTTGGATGATAGTCAATCTCGCAATCATAATCCTTTAGAAGCTTAAGCCAACAACACTTCCTCAGATTAAGTTCTTTCTGGGTCAGAAGATACTTCATACTCTTCTGATCCGTGAAAATGCAACACTTCTCTCCAAAAAGATATTATCTCCATATCTTTAAAGCAAAGATCACAGTGGGTCAGGCAATTGTACTCATGCGGCCTCAGTTGATGGGACGCATAAGTGACTACCCTCCCCTCCTGTATTAGAACACAACCAAGTCCAGAGTGTGATGCATCACTATACACTGTAAAATCCTTCTTGGGCTCAGGTTGAGTCAAAACTAGATCTTGAGTTAAAGTTGTCTTCAATTTATCAAAACTCTCTTGTTATGCATCACCCCAGTTAAATAGAACATTCTTCCTCAATAGTTTCGTCAAAGGGGGCGACAATGATCGAGAAGCCCTCAATAAAATATCGATAATACCTGGTTAAGCCCAAGAAACTACGAATCTCGGAGATATTCTTAAGTCACTTTCAACTCATAATTGCCTTAATCTTACTCGGATCGACCTGAATACCTCTCGTAAAAACAATATGCCCAAGAAATGACACCTCTCGAAGCCAGAATTCACAATTGGTCATCTTGGAATACAGACGATACTCTCTTAGTGTCTGCAGAACAGTCCTCAAATGCTCATCATGCTTTGCCTTAGTCCGGGAATAGACCAAAATATCATCAATAAAAACCACTACAAACTGATATAAATAGGGTCGAAACACATGGTTGATCAGATCCATAAAATATGCGGGAGCATTTGTCAGACCAAAAGGCATCACCAAAAACTCATAATGTAACACCCCAACCCGTACCCGACCCAGATACGAGTCTGAGGAGTCACATTTACTTTTCAATTCGTTTACTTTTACAAATAACTAAAAGTTCAATTTAACAATTAAAATAAAACTGAATAATTTCTATTAAATAAAAACAAATGGTTTTACAAAGCCTATCAGAGCATATTCAACTCAAATCTTTTAGTACATGCCAACTACATTTAATATACCAAAATACATATGATTCAAATTTTTTTTCTGATATGATCTTTTGGAAAGGAGAGGCTGACATGTCTTGCTCCTCTTTGTTCCTTAATCTTCATGAAACCTATATGTGAAACATTCACACGCTAAGTCTATGACTTAGTGAGGCATAAAAAACATATATTGTAAACTATAACTCCTAACAATGCATGCATATATCATACCATCATATCATACAAACTAATATACCCTTTATGTAACGAATGCATACATACACATATCATCTCACAAAGAAACAAACATAATATCATACCAAGTTTATTTATATTATCTCTTTATTAGCCCATGTATACTTTTGAGAACTAAATATATGTGAGTACATAGAGGTTGTGCACATATGTTGTCACCACAACTCGTATAAGTCCCACGTAGTGGCATATGAAATTTTTCCCGAAGGACCTCATGTATGTCTCGAAGGATCTATGTATATCCCGAAACCCTATGTAACCCTCGAACTTGGCATGTCAACTATACCCCTAGCTCTCTATCACATAACATGGGACATTATCATTTGTACTTGTCATATAACTTGTATCACGTGTACATAGTCACGTATCACTTTCGTATAGCTTATATCAACTTTTCATGTCATTTCACCTATTCATGTAATCACATAGAACATTTCATATAGTTAATGTCTCATAGACATATCCACATGTTCACATAGTCATATAACTCACCGTATATACATTTACTCTTATAGTTCATATAATCTCTTATGTAATCGCATCGTTTTATCATAACATATATCACATGTGCATATATTCATTTATGTCACATCATATAGATTATTATTTGTTCTCTTTGTGTTCACATAAATCATGTAACATATATCATAACATATAAACATATGTCACTTATGCGTGTATTCTCATACTTATCATCCCATAGCTCCTATAACTTTTTCTATGGTTTTATAGATCTTTACCATATAACTCATATATTATGGGTTCATTTAAGCACATAATCTTCCTCTATAGTTTATCTTACTATTCATGTAATTACTTATGTTAATGTCTCCTATTTTATGTACTATTCTCGTATTGTCCTATGAATCAATGCTAGTTAGCTTATCCCATTTTCATTTAATACCATAAGTCGATTATACTAGTTCCCATAAATTTAACTCATGTAATTTATATCTTGTTATTATGTCTTCACCTAGATATATACCACATATTAATAATCACATAGCTTATATTCTTCCTATTGTATCACATAAGTCATTTCTATTTGACATAGTTCGTGATCATATAACTTATATTACATGCTCATATAACTCATATAACGTTCATATAGTTACATATATCGTTAGGGGTGTTCATTCGGTTAAAACTGAACCGAACCGAACCGAAATACCCAAACCGAATTAACCGAATTTTTTTTCTTTAACCGTTAACCGAACCGAATTTTTTAATGAAAGTATTAACCGAACCGAATAAATTTCGGTTAATTCGGTTAATTTTCGAATTAACCGATTTTTTTAGAAATTTAATATTTTTTAATTAAAAAAACAGTTTAGGCAAAATCAAGGCAGTGCTGCCTCACCCATGCTCCACTACACCATACTCCAACTGCCATCTCATGCCCATACCTTACACAAAAAGGCAGAAAAAAATTATAACCGAGGAAATTGCAACAGATTTAAGACTAGTACCATGAGTCTTGGTGCAGATGTTATTGTATTTTCTCAGTTTGGAAAAGAGGTAAAGCAGTTAGTCTTTGTTTAATATTTCTAGGCCAGTATAATATTTGTTAATTCATTTTTATGGGTCGTGTATATTTTTAGGAAGTGGGGGCAATGTCCCTTGGATATTCTGCAAAAAGCAAAGTAGCATACACCATTGGACAATGTATTTGAATATCTATTATCTAGAAAAAGTGGGAGGCAGCAGGGTGAAAAATATTAAAAAAATTTTAATTTGGTTAATTAACCGATTTCAAACCGAATTAATCGTTAACCGAATATCCAAAAAATCATTAACTGTTAACCGACAGAACTAATTCAGTAACCGACTGAATTAACCGAACTAATTCGGTTCGGTTGGTTAACCGAATTAGTTCAAAAATTTGAACACCCCTATATATCGTTTCCATATACCATATATAATATAAATTCACACCACCGAGCTTGAAATATGAACAAGATATATTCACATAATACAAACATCTAGGGTTTCGGTTTTATTTAGGTATATAATAAGTCGGGTTGGGTCAATATTGGATCGGTTGATTTTGGGTCGGATCAAATCAGATCGATTGACTTTCGGGTTGGATCAATATTCGATCAATTATTTTCAGTTTAGGTCAACTTTGGAACTTCAGGTTAATTCAAGTTGAGTTGGATATAAATCAAATCAAGTGTATAGAAAGTATGATATATATTTTTAGAAATGTCTTTTTTAAAAAAATCTTGTTTAGTTTCATTCAAATTCAATTATTTACATATTATAATTTAATTAAAACTCGACCTATAATTTATGTTAGAGTTTATGATATTTTTTGTATTGACCCGGACTGAAAAGTTTAAGGTACGATCTATTTGATTAAAAAACCAAAATTTTTAATTATAAATTTTAGGATGATTCTTCCACGCTCGACAAGCGATGATGAGCACCACTAATGATGAACACCGATAAATTAATTTATAAAATGTTAAATTCTAAAGGACTCAACGTATAATTAAAAATTAATTAAAATTTAAAGGTAAATTATTTAAAATAAAGGTAAGCTATATTAGTGACCACCTAACTATTGTTCTTTTTATTTTGACCACAATTTTTGAAATTTGTCAATCAGGTCACTCAAATACTATTTAAATGCAATCAATAAACCACTTACCGTTAATATTTAATGAAAAAACTAATGTGGCAATTAAAATATTTGGTATAATTACACATTTAATCACTGTTACTTGTATATTATAATTTGGTCCTAATTTTAATAAATTAAAATAAATTTAGCCCTCAAATGTGTCAAAGTTGTTAATTAGAGAGGAATTCAATTTAATGCCAGCCAGTACAATTTTTCTTTCTTTTACTCTTTATTATTTCTAATAATAAAATAAAATAAACATGTCAATGTTTTGTGATAGACGTGCCATGATTTCTTCTGTTCTTCTCTTTTTTAGCTTAAAATATTATATTTTACATTAATATACGCAAGACAATTAGTGTGACAAATTCAAGTGTTTAAATTATATCTTTAACTGATTTTAGAAATTTAAATTATATATTTTATTTATTTTATTTGTAATTAATTTTAGATCGTTTGTTTAAAAATATTTTTTATTACTTGGCTATCCAAGGCACAATTTTATAGATAATGTATTGGTATAAAGAATTCGTTAAATAATGGTTCGGAAGAATTATTTCTTGAAATGAGGATGATGTTACAGTACAATTGTGTCGCCATCCCTTCCATGCGATACCAAAGGGTGTCGCCATGCTTTCCAGCCAACACCCAAAGGTGTCGCCAGCTGTTCCAAGCGACTCCCAACGGTGTTGCCATGCATTCCAGACGAATCCCTCTCGTGAATGGCCAGCACGTGAATAGATCCCTGCTGCAGACAACTTGAATGCATGTGAAGCATGCATGAAGAAATTCATTAGGGCCAAGTATCTCAACCTTGTTCATGCAAAAATGGAGTGCTCGTTCTTCGGAATTTGAACCAAAGGAAGATAATGGTTCCCGGATTCGCATGGCTTGTCTGGCGACCAATACATCGTTCGGCTTGCATGGCGACCTGCATAGGTCGTTTGGACCACCTGGCAGTAATCACTCTATTTAGCAAATAATTATTAACAACAATATCTGAAGAAATTTTTTTTCAACGCATTATCTGAGATTTTGGCCGGCTATCCAATTATTTTTTTATTACTTGGCTATCCAAGTATTATAACTTTACTTTAGCCAATTCGTCGCAATATAAGTAAAATCTAATTGTTTTGGATTAATTTTTAATAATTTAAATTTTGATTTTACTTAATATAGATGTATTTTTGAAATCAAAGCGTTTGATATTTAATTTTTATCAATTTCTCAAAAATGAAATCAATTTTTGGTAAGTTTTCTTTTCTTCTCTTTCTTGTTTGTTTCTCTACAAATTGAAAGAATAAGATGAATAACTACTTTGGCACCATTTGATTTGAGGGTTAAGTTTATTTTAATTTATTAAAAATAGGACCAAATTGATAGAATATAAGTAACATGTATCAAATGTGTAATAATATCAAATATTTCAAATGCCACATCAATTTTTCTATTAAATATTAACGACAAATGGCTTAATTAATTGCATTTAAATAGTTGAGTGACCAGATTGACAAAATTTTAAAAATGATGGTCAAAATAAAGGGGCAATAGTGGTATTTTACATTTCATTTTGAATAATTTACCTTTAAACTTCAACTAATTTATAATTATACGTTGAGCCTTTAGAATTTTAAATTTTTATAAATTAAATTAATGGTGTTCTCGGTACTCATCGAGTAGAATTTTTATTAATTTTATTATCTATTAAAATTTTAAATTAGATACTTAACGTTTAATTTTAAATATAATAATTTTATTAAACTTAAAAGTAATAAATATAATTTATAAATGATATTATATTATTATATCATCGATAATTTTAATTTTAAATTTTAAATAAAAATATATATCTTTATAATGTAAAATAAGTTATAGTATAGTATAAAACAAGTTATTTTTTATATGAATTTAAATAGCTATATTTTTTTCATATACAAAAGAATTAAAATAATTTGTAAATTAATTTAATAGTTTTAGAAAGTTATTTTAGTAATTTCAAAGTAAAATATTAAATTAATAATGAATTGCATCATATGTCCCTAAACTATGACTCTCAATTTAAATTAGTGCTTAAACTTTTAAATATTAAAATTTCATCTTTAAACTGTCTCTCATTCTAAAATTGTCCCTAAACTTTTTTCTTTCAATTGCATCCCTAAATTCATCGAAATATGTAATTCATTTCAACCATAGTTTAACCTAATTTTTTTTTCAAACATGTAATATAACTTGCCTAAGGATTTTATTAACAAGAAATGATTAGTATATACGAATAATTTAGGATAAAATTGAAATATTCAAAAAGTTTGGGGACCAATATAGGATGAAGATCATATCTTGGGGATGAAAATGAATGTTTAAATTTTAGGGACTAATTTGAAATGAGGGTCATAGATTGGGGACATATGATGAAATTGACTCATTAATAATTCATAATTTGATTTAAATAATTGAAAACCAATTTAATATTATATTTATACATTTTAACTCAATTATCGTGTTAAAATCAGGTCAATGTTCGGTTCAGATCAGGTTTGGATAAATTTAAATTCGAATTACTTTCGGTTCAAGTTGTTTTCGGTTCGGGTTACTTTCGTTTGGCTAAAATCCGGGCCAATTTCAGTTCAGTTTCGACTTACTTTCGGTTCAGGTTTTTTAATTTGGCAAAAATTTGGGTCGGTTTCGGTTCGATTCAACTTTTTCGGGTTTCGATTCAAATTTGAATCATCATTTCTGGTCTATTTCAGGTCTTATTTATAAAAATCGGTTCGAATAATCAGGTTCGGGTCAAATTTGACCCGTCTAAATTTAACTTTATTTACGTACATATGAAAAAAATCCCTAATAAGTTATCGGAAAAGAAAGCTTCTAGTTTGGTTATTGCTAGAGTTACAAATTTGGGAAAGAATACTCTAATTGTGTTAATAAAACCATTTAAAATTTGAATTTGATTTTCTCAAAGCGACTTAGGTCAGCTTTTTGCAAAAGTGTTAGAATTTGATAAAAACTCTCATCTTACATTGGTGTTCAGCTGAGATTTAAAAATAGGAGATTGTGATTACTAGCTAGTACTAAAAAACTACACCTACCTGTTTTACCATGGGTGATTTTATTGTGCGGCGTCTAAAAAAAATAAAAAAAAAAGCGTGATCGATTAAAAAAATTATTGGTTAAAATTTAGACCGGTTATGTTATATCATTTAACCAGAAATATTATCAAGTACAATAACATATTAGGTAGCGCTTATATAATGTAATAGGTAGCGCTTATATAATAAAATAAGCATTTAACTGGTATATTTATACTGGTAGCATTGCAAATTTACCTATTGCATTATAATTATTGGGTTCGTTGTTTTTTGGATCGATACAATTTTAAATGTATTGACACTTTATGCTTGCACCTCGTTGGGCATTCCTAATTCATTCTGGAAAAAAGTATCGACACAAACTATAAAGGTGTCGATACATTATTTAGACTTATTTTCTCATAAAATCGGTATATTTATATCGGGTACATTGTAAATTTACCTATAACATTGTAATTTTTGTTTCGATGTTTTTGAGATCGATACAATTTTAAATGTATCGACACGTTATTCTTGCACCTCGTTGGGCATTCATTATAGACAAAATGTATCGACACAAATTACGCAAGTGTCAATACTTTATTCTGACCTATTTTCTCATAAAACCGGTAAATTTAAACCGGTTACATTGTAAATTGACCTATTACATTATAATTATCGGTTTCGATGTTTTTGTAATCGATACAATTTTAAATGTATCGACACTTTATGCGTGAACCTGTTTGTGCTTTCTTTTGGAAAAAAGTATCGACACAAACTTAAAAAGTGTCGATACTCTATGTTAACATGTTTTATAATTAATTGGTATATATATACTGGTTACATTGTTAATTTAAATATTACATTATAATTATTTGTTTCAATGTTTTTGGGGTCGATACTTTTTGAAAATGTATGGACACATATTCTTACATATGTATCGAAACAAATCTTTGTGTTTACTAATTTTGTCATTAAAAAAGTATATTTTTACCACCTACATTGTAAATTTACCTATTACTTTAAAGTTATTGAATGTTGTAGTTATTGTACATACCTGAATATGTCATGCAAATTTAATGTTTGTACCCACCCTCCAACTACCACTACCAATACCACATCCTATTGAAAGCACCACAAAAAACATGTTGTTCAATGAACCTTTACTTACATCTCCATCAACTCCTGTTGGGACCACTGAAATTGCACAACAATTTTTACCATTGATCAGACAATGTTAAGCCAACCGAATGCCATGAAGTACATAATGTTGATGAATCTAACATATTGGTTGGTAAGCTCTTCTCTTCATGTGATCAAGCTTGGTACTTTTACATGGGATTCACACAAGAACATGGGTTTAGTGCACGTCGGGGAACAACACAGCTTGACATGGAAGGTGTGAAGACACAAGAATTTTTGTTCGAAAGAAGGATTTCGAGAATCAAAAGTCAATGCCGTTGATCGTCAACGTGCTCATATGCCAATCACAAGAACATGATGCAAGGCTAGAGTCATAGTTACAACAACAAATACAAAAGATCAGTGGGTTATAAGTAAGTCTTATCAGAAACATAATCATGCATTGTGCACACCTACTATGACACCATTTATACGTTCTAATAGATCTGTAAGTAAGGCTGATATCGATGAGGCAACAGCATTGAAAGAGGTCGGTGTTGGCACGTCACAAGTAATGAACTATTTAACGCAGTAGGCAGGGGGCTATCATAATGTTGGATTTACACATAAAGACCTCTATAATGCACTTCAAAGAGGTAAAGCAAAGGAAATCATTGATGGATGTAAATGCGCTTATTGCTTACTTTGATTATAAGAAACATGATGATCCCGGGTTTTTTGTGACATACTCAGTAGACGAATCATGGGCGTTACAGAATCTTATTTGGTCGGATTCTACATCGAGATCAGATTACATATGCTTCGGTGATGTAATTGCGTTCGACACAACGTACAAATATTTTTGGTCGACCAATTATGACTATTGTCGGTGTTAATCATCACCATGATTCAGTCAATCGAAGCAGTGTATTAAACAACGTTTGCGACCCACAACAGAAACAACGCAAGTGAAAAGAAGTAACAAAGAACAAGGTCGAGAAGAAGATTAGGCGATGTGGGTTTTGCAACGGTGAGGGACATAACAAACTAACATGTCCTCAAGTCAAGCTGGGTTTGAATACAAGCACGCAGTCTACTTCAACTGATTTTTTTGAAGACGGAATGGAATGGTTATGAACCTCCAGCACATGATGTTTGATACATTTGGTTATAATTATGTTTTCAATGTTTTTGGGATCGACAATTGTTATAAATGTATCGAAACTTTATTGTGCACTTGGTTTTTAAAATATAGTATGGACAAAAATATATCGAAACTTGATGTATTTGTGTCGATACTTCATGTATACATGTTTTCTCATAAACCGGTACATATAGACCGGTTACATTGTTAATTTACCTATTAAATTATAATTATAGCACGTAGTCTACTTCAACTGAATTTTTTTGAAGACGGAATGGAATGGTTATGAACCTCCAGCACATGATGTTAGAGACATTTGGTTATAATTATGTTTTTCGATGTTTTTGGGATTAACAATTGTTATAAATGTATCGAAATTTTGTTGTACACTTGGTTTTTAAAATATAGTCTGGACAAAAATGTTTCGAAACTTGATGTATTTGTGTCGATACTTCATGTATACATGTTTTCTCATAAACCGGTACATTTAGACCAGTTATATTGCTAATTTACCTATTACATTATAATTATAGTTTTCGAAGTTTTTGGGATCGACACTTGTTATATATGTATCTACACTTTTTAGTGCACTTGGTTTTGAAATACATTCTGGAGAAAAAGTATCGACACTTGTTATATTTGTGTCGATACTTTTTATACACATATTTTCTCAAAAACCGGTATATTTAGACCGTTTACATGAATAATTTACCTATTACATTATAATTATGTTTTTCGATTTTTCGGGATCGACACTTGTTTTAAATGTATCGACACTTTTATGTGCACTTGGTTCTGAAATACATTCTGGACCAAAAGTATCGACACTTGTTCTATTTGTGTCGATACTGTTTGTACACTTGTTTTCTCAAAAACCGGTATATTTAGACCGGTTATATTGTTAATTTACCTATTACATTATAATTATGGTTTTTGATGTTTTTGGGATCGACACTTGTTATATATGTATCAACACTTTTTAGTGCACTTGGTTTTAAAATACAGTTTGGAGAAAAAGTATCGACACTTGTTATATTTGTGTCGATACTTTTTGTACACCTATTTTCTCAAAAACCGGTATATTTAGACCGTTTACATGAATAATTTACCTATTACATTATAATTATGTTTTTCGATGTTTTCGGGATCGACACTTGTTTTAAATGTATCGACACTTTTATGTGCACTTGGTTCTGAAATACATTCTGGACCAAAAGTATCGACACTTGTTATTTGTGTCGATACTGTTTGTACACATGTTTCTCAAAAACCGGTATATTTACCGATTATTTTGCTAATTTACTTATTACATTATAATTATGGTTTTCGATGTTTTTGGATCACACTTGTTATATGTATTGACACTTTTTAGTGCACTTGGATTTGAAATACAATATGGAGAAAAGTATCGACACTTGTTAGATTTGTGTCGATACTTTTTGTATACATGTTTTCTCAAAAACAGTATATTTAGACCGTTTACATGAATAATTTACCTATTACATTATAATTATATTTTTCGATGTTTTCAATACTTATATTAAATTATCGACACTCGACACATATCCGGTAGCGTTTTACCGGTTTTGTCATTTTGGGACCGGTTTTGTCATATTTGTACATGTAATATTGCTATGGAGCGATCCATTTTTCATTTGTATCGACACAAACTGACAATCTAAGTTTATCGGTTGCCAAATTTTTTAATATTTCTTCATGATTTAGACCTACTACACTATTATTACTCAACATTTCCGGTAACGCTAAACCGAATATTGTAAATATATTATAATGTATCCGATAACACTATATAT